GAGAAATTTTAGTTTCTACCAAAGCTGAATGAAAGCTTGTTTGCAATTGTTTGGATGAGGCTATCTTGTGCCAATGTCATAACAGATTTCATTCCAGTGTGCTAACTTCTGAATTGCAAATTTGTAGAAATGACTCTTAGCTACAATTGTGTTGAACTGAGTGAATACAACTACTTTTCAGCTAGTAAAAAAGCACTTTTTGTTGCTACTGAAAAAATACAAGGTATTGTTGGCTCTGTCAAAATTAATCATTGTTACCTGCTTTATGGAGTTACAAGCTTATCAAGGGTCATGAATAAAAAGAGAGAATTTCAGACAACTCTATCATGATTGTTCAGGGTAGACACTAAATTTTCTAATATGGCTGGAAATTAATATTACTGTGGGATAAAAAGAGTACCTTGGAGACTGCATTCACCTGTGTCCATATATTGCTCTGTAACCTCCAAAGATTTATTACTGTAAGGAAATGCTCCATGAAAATATCCTTTTTCAAATTAATTTGTTTTTTAGATATAATTGGCACATAACACTATTATTTCTGGGTATAAAAGTATTCTTGCATAATGTTTGCAGATCATTTTAGAGAAATAGGTCATATTTAACATTTTAAATTATTCCAGCTGATTTTTGTTTATACATTTAAATGACTCAAGCTTCAATACACGAGTCTTCACTTTCTGAATGGTACTTACATTAACTCTGTGGACAATGGTAAGATATTCAGCTATGGAGTTTTCCCTTCCTCCCCTCACACCCTCCTTTTTCTTTGGTTACAAATAAATGTCATGAATGATTGTAAGAATTTCTAAAGACTTTTTTCTTGGAAATGAAAATATGCCACTCACAAGTAGAAATTCATAAGGGTTAATTATTAAGTCCAATACTTTGGTTAATAAAATCAATTGCACTAGTTAACAAAGAATTGAAAGTCAAAAAATATATTTAGGGATTGTGATTTCTATGATAGGTTGGAAAAGAAGTTCTGAGAATCCTCTCCCCATTGGAAACTAAGTTAAATACATATACAAGCTAAGAGAGCATGCATCCACTGTAGAGAGTTGTCACTGGAGATGACATTTATTCTGGGATGCAGGCAACACTGTAGTGGTCTGGAGTCTTGGCTTTTGGTCTATAATTAGGACTCAGGGAACACTATTGCCAACAAAAGAGCTCACACCTGCATGCTCTGAGGCCTTGATTTCATATTATATTTTTTGGATCACCAAACCGCAAGTAAATTACATAGCTTCAAAGCACTAGATAGAGAAAGGTGGACCAAGAGGTAGTTCTACAAGTTTAGACAGTCATCTGTATTTCATTATTAAAATTTACTTTTTAAAGTTAAATTATGACCCTGATATTCACAAGTTGGAGGGGACAGTGAGCTGATCTGTGTGACATCTTCAAAAGGAACTCAGCACAACTATGCCAGAGACATATGTGTGCTATGCAGATTATTAGAGTAACTGAAGCAAATTATTTGAAAAAATAAAATCTAGATTATATCAAAATGTACAACCATAATTCTAATATGTACAAGTTCATTTTCTAAGTGCTTTATTAGAAATGAGTTACATTATGTTGTGAACATGCATGTTTGTAGCTACCTCTAAATCATATTTGTGAATATTATGTTATTCCAATTAAGCTAATTTAAAGATTATGATTACTGAAGTAAATTCTAACTGCTGAGGCCTAATCATCTTCACATAAATATTAGGCTGGTGCTAAAATAAAACTTCTACCTGAGACAAATAAAAATTTAGTTGCGTATTTGACTATACAAATAAGCAACACTCTATTGCTAAATACCTACAATTTGTTACATCCTAATACTGTAATAATAGACAACAATAATAGTCCTTTGCATTCTAATATTAATCCAGACCACAGAGGTCATTTTTCTTGTTGCTATTCAGGAAACAATGAAGCCATCATGCTTAAATGGATTTAGTAATTAAACGATTATTTCTACCTTCCTTCACACATGTGGCTTTTGTTTGCATGGTTTTGCCTGCCTGTTTCCCTTCAAGGTACCATGCTTTCATATCTAGGTTGACTAATTCAATATTTTTCCATTTCTCTGAAAATTATTGACATAAAAAGATAATTTGCAAATCAAATAGAATAGGGCATTCCCTCCCTAACTAGTAAATATATCTCTGTTAATGGTATCATCTTCCTTAGCATTGCTTACAGTATCAAAAGCAGTTTTAATTCCCTTTTCTCCCTTTTGTCTCCATATGCAATTTTCATAAATGCAGCTGTGTTGGGTATTATGCTGCATCAACCACATTCCTTTCAGGAATGAAGGACTACTTCCTATAGCTACTGGGAATGGTGCTGGAAGGTGATCATTAGATCAGTCCTCCTTAAGCATCGCCTTGTTTGAAAAAAATAATAACTTGTCCAAGGTCAAAACTTCTTCCACATGCAGCCCATTTTCAGAGCCTCCCTGGTGGCTAAGGGGTTAACCCTCAACACTATCTGAGCTCCATCTCCGGCCAAGGAGCTAACCCTCACATGATGCAGCAGACCAGTCCTGTCTTGCCTGCTGCTCCCCTTAGCTGTGTATTTCAGTAAATCCACCTGTTCTGCTTCCCACTCTGTCCCTGGTGAACCCTCACACTCCCTGAATCTCTGGCCTACACCCCAGTTCTTCTATGCATAAATAAAGAAATATTTTTTTAAAAAGTTCTCTCAGTCCCCCATTGTTCGGATGAATAGTTCCCTCTACCATGCCTCCTAGTGCCAAGCTTAAACTTTGTGTATATCAGAATGTACTTTGTATTGAGATGACTTATTAATATCTATTTCTACCACCAGTTATGAAATCCTAGGAGGCAGAAGTCAAATGATATTCATCTTTCTAGCTACTGGTAACATGTGAAATCATTAGTACCTATGTTCCAATTCTAACCAATCAGAAAGGACTCGGGATTAAAGCCCTGAAGCATATGATGCATCATGTGGTAACCCTTCAAGTTAGTGCTAATCATGAGAAAAAGCCAAAGGGCTGGGCCCCACTAGTGGCACAGGCAGTTGAGTGCAGCACTGTGAAGCTGTCCACATCATCTACAGTGCGGGTTCCATCCTGGCCAGCCAGGGAGAAATCCACATGGCGCGGCAGACCTCTCCTGTCTCGCCCTCTGCTCCCCTCAACAGTGTGTTTCAATCAGTCTGCCTTTCTGCTCCCACTGTGTCTCTGGTGAATTCTCTCACCCTCCCACGCATCTGGCCTATACCCTGGTTCTTGTATGCATGAATAAATAAATCTTTAAAAAAAAGAAAAAAGGGCCCTGTGTGGTTGGGCTGAGGTCACTGGTGGGTCAAGCTAGAGTGTCAAGGTTACACTACAGTGGAACTCAAACATTCGAGTATTTCTCAACATATAAATACAAGGATCAGCTGCAATATTTTAACAAATGGCCTCAGTGATTTAACATCCACTTCGATTCATAACTACAATCCTTATTAAAGTTTTCCAAATTATAAGCTTGCAGCAAATAATTGTTGTACAATTAAGAACAGAAAAAATGGACATAAAGTTATTCTAAAAGACCACTGACATATATGCACATTGGCAGACTTATTTAGTCAGCACCAATAGGAACATTCTCATATACCTATGAAAATTACGTAGTCTAGGGAGGGTCTCCCTGGTGGCGCAAGGGGTTAAAACACAACCAATGAAGCCATCCTCAACCTTTGCAGCACGAGTTTGATCCCTGGCCGGCCAGGAAGCAACCCACATGGCATAGCAGACCTCTCCTGTCTCACCTGCTGCTCCCCTCAGCAGTGTATTTCGTCAGTCTGCCTGTCCCGTTCCCCACTCTGTCTCTGGTGAATCCTCTCCCCCCCCAGCACTTCTGGCCTGTACCCCAGCTCTTGTAAGCATAAATAAATCTTCAAAAAAAAAAAAAAAGAAAGAAAATTATGTAGTCTAGCTCTTATGTCAGATTAAAAGTAATTATACAATTTAAATTATAATAGAAGTCTTCCGACAGAGCTATCAATAAAGATGACGTTAACCTCTTTTATAGCCTCAGCTTCCACAAATTGTAATGGCAACACTGATTCAACTTTAAGGAACTACCCTAGGAAAAGCAGTTATGATTTGCCATTATATCTCAAAATTATGAAGTCTGCAAAATATCTTCTATAACCAATAACATTTACCTAATTCATCCTTGCTTAACAAAAATACCCCGAGTAGTGCTTAACTTCCAAATTCTTTCTAAAGTTCTTCAAACCAATATGTTAAAAAGAGTTCATATCTGATTAGTGAAAACATGCATTGGAATTTTACAGTCTCACAACTGCTCTAAAATCAACAAAAATTGACTATACAAAAGAGAAGCATATTAAATCTGATTATTTAATTATTGTTAGGTTGATTTCCATAACTTCAAGATTCTGAATTATGGATGAGGAGCATTGTTTAAGATAGTCATAAACATTCCTAATTCAATAATGTCCCACAGTTTGAAGTTTCTCTTACCTTCCTTCTGATATGTAGCAGAACTCAATGTCTTACAGATAACAGAAGACTGAGATTTATTGTATTAACCAAAAGCATTACTGGCTATTATGAATGATTTGCTACCCTTTACAAAACATGAATTAAAATTCTAAGACTTTAGAGACTCCACCAGCTATGAGTATTGTTATTTGGTGATTAAAATGAAAATAGAAACTGTCTGGTTCATAAGTTGGTATAACTATTTCAAAGTAGTTGTCACAACTTTAAATTGTTATGCCTTTAATATTTCTACCTCTAGGATTGGCCAAGAGAATATAGCACTAGGATATAAATGGCCAAGAGTATATAGCACCAGGGAGAAAATGTATGCTCCAATTATTTGGAAAGATAATGACTAAAATGGAAATTAAATTTTCCTATGGGTCACTTATTAAAGGAGAAAAGGTGAATTACATTTTATATTTCTTCTCATCATATTTTCATCCAAGTAACATTTTATGAATGGGTTTGTTACCTGTAATTACACCACGTTTCCAAGGGCATATATGTAGAACATATGGTAGTACATTTTTAGCATCTACGGTGATGTGTGTATTTCCCCACACTATTGGGAGATCTGAAGATACCTAGAAAAGAGAATTCAAAAACAAGAATTATACAATGTCAAAATTCACATGAAATTAGTGTAACAATTTAAAGCATACAAAAACCCTGAAATTTCATTGATTCCATCAAAACGATTCACTTTTAAATAAAAAGCAATCTAGAAAAACGCTACATGCAACTGAAAAAAACCTGAAAATAAATCTATGAAAAAATTCAACAAAGGAAAGGATTCTTATAAAAAATGCCAACATATGTTGTCTATTGTTACTTGTAGCAATATCACTGATGCTTAGAAATCTGAATGCCTTTATATTTGAAGTATTAATAGTTATTTTTATTATTTTATCATCTGTACTTTTGGTGTCACATGTAAAAGATTATTAGCCCAAGGTTATAAAGATTTACTTCTATGTTTTCTTCTACTGTTTTTTTTTTTGTTTGTTTTAATTATTAAATTTTGACCTATGATCCATTTTGAGAACACTTTTTTACATGGTCTGTGTTAGGGGTCCAAATTTACTCTTTTGTATGTGACTATATAACTGTATAGTTGCATCAGCACCATTTTTTTAAAATATTTTTTTTTTATTCATTTATACAAGCACTGGGTACAGTCAGAAACGTGGGAGGGTGAGAGAATTCACCAGAGCCACAGCGGGGAGCAGAACAGGCAGACAGACAGAGGACACTGCTGAGGGGAGCAGCGGGAGAGACAGGAGAGGTCTGCGGTGCCATGTGGGACCCTCACCCTGTGGCTGGGGATCAAACCGGAGCTGCAGAGGCTGCGGGCAGCTTCGCAGCCCAGTGCTCAACTGCTGCACCACCGGGGAGGCCCATCAGCACCATTTTTTAAAAGACAATTCTGTCTCATTGAATTCTCTTGGTATCCCCATCAAAACTTGACTGATCACTATCATAAGGATGTATTTCTGGACACTCCTGTCTGTTTCATTCATGTACAAGTCTACCTATGTCAGTACCACCTTTTCTGTAATATCATAGCTTTGTAGTTAAGGGTACACAGTAAGTTTTAAGATCGGGAAGCATGAGGCATCCATTTGTTTTATTACATGAGATTGCTTTGGTTGCCCAGTGTCCCTGGCATTTCTATATGAATTTTAGGATTACCTGGTCAAATTCTGTCCAAAAAAAAAAATCAGTTGGGATTTTGACAGATATTATGTTGAAGCTGTACATCAATTTGGGTAAAATTGTCACTAAAACAATATTAAGTCTTCTGATCTATGGGCACAGAATGTCTATTTGGAATTTCTTTAATTTCCTTCAATAATATTTTGTAGTTGTCTGGGCCTCCCTGGTGGCGCAAGGGGTTAAGCACCGCACTATGAAGCAATGCGCAGCCTCTGCAGCAGGAGTTTGATCCCCAGCCAGCTAGGGAGCAACCCACATGGCGCAGCAGACTTCTCTTGAATTGCTTGCTGCTCCCCTTGGTCTATCTTTATCGGCCTGTACTGTTCCCCACTGTCTCTGGTGAATCCTCTTGCCCCCCGCATCTCTGGCCTGTACCCCAGCTCTTGTATGCATAAATAAATCTTTTAAAAATATTTTGTAGTTGTCAGTATATAAATCTTGCTTTTCTTTTGTCAAACTTATTCCAAAGCATTTTATTATTTTTGATGTTATGATTATTAATTTTAATTAGGATTGTTCATTGCTGGTATATAAACTGATTGATTTTAGTATATTAATCTTGTATCCTTTAAACCTTTTGAACTTCTCTCTTTTAATAATTTTTAGTAAATTCCTTAGAATTTTCTATTTATAAGATTGTATCTACAAATTGATTACATGATTTCTTCCTTATTAATCTGGATCTCTTTTATTTTTTTTCTTAAGTAATTACACTAGCTAGTATCTCCAGAACAATGCTGAATAGCTGTGGCCTACACTTGTTCCTGACCTTAGGAAAAACAATTTAATGTTCTACCATTTAAATATGATGTTAGTTATACGGTTTTCGTTGATGTCTTTAGTATGTGTCAAGCACACATGGAATATTCTCCAGGTTAACCCATGTCTTAGGATAAGACAATGGGCCAATAAATTTAAAAGGGTTAGATTCATATACAGTATGTTTTTTTTCTTAACAAAAAAGGAATCAAAAATCAAATAGGAAGAAATTTAGGAAATTCTTTAATATGTGGAATCAAAAAACAAAAAAAAAACACAGTCCTACATAACTACTTAAGTGAAAGTATGTATTTGATATTAGTACCTAGATTAGTACCTAGATGACTGTTCAAAGCTGGAAATTGCCAAGCATGATGTTGTATAGACATAAGAATGCTGTGGAAGATGGAAATTTTTTTTTTAATTTTAATTTTACAAGCACTGGGGTACAGGTCAGAGGTGCAGGAGGGTGAGAGAATTCACCAGACAGAGCAGGGAGCCGAACAGACAGAAGGACCAAAATAAACTGCTGAGGGGAGCAGCGTGTGAGCCAGGAGAGGTCTGCCTCGCCATGTGGGAATCTCCCTGGCCGGCCGGGAATCGAACCCATGCTGCAGATGCTATGGAAAGCTTCACAGCTCTGCGCCACCAGGGAGGCCTAGGAAGATGGATTTTTGAACAGAAATCACAAGGTTAGAGAAATAGAAGAACCAGATAAGTAATAATCAAGGAATCACAGGAAAATGGGAAGTATAGGAAATATTAAATAAAGGACAAAATGTTAAGAAGGCAGATCAACAGTGTTGAATACTTCAGGAGTGCTGAGATGGAGAACTTGGGAAAATACCTGATTTCTCTTGACTAAAAATTAAGGCTGATCTTTGTGGAACCAGTTTCAACAGAGTAGAGGAGCTATAAATGGACTGCCGTGAAACAAGAACTAATTCCACAAACATTGCTTTTTCAAGAAGTTTAGGAATCATGGAAAATAAAAAGTAGAAGGAGTAGTGTTAGTGAAAAGTTTTCTCTTGTCATGGAAAAATTTGAGAAAATTTATAGATTAAGGAAAATAATGAAGGAAGAGGGGGTTAAGAAGGGAAGGGAATGTAAATCAGTCTTGAATGCCTATGGGTCAACTTCATTGTACAGATGAAAGAATGAAGATGAAGAATCAAAGCATTTCAGCAGTCACTAAGCAAGTATATAATGAAGTCTAACACTACAAAGCAAAGATTTTTAGCCTAGTCCTTCTCCTTAGCAGCACCTCCATTGTTTCTCAATAGAATTTCCATTGAAATACAAGCAATAGGGCCTCCCCAGTGGCGCAGCAGTTGAGCGCTGGGTTGGGAAGCTGCCCGCAGCTTCTGCAGTGCCAGTTCGATCTGCGGCCATCCGGTGAGGGTCCCACATGGCGCGCAGACCTCTCCTGCCGCCCGCTGCTCCCCTCAGCAGTGTACTTCGGTCCTTCTGCCTGCTCTGCTCTCCCCTCTGGCTCTGGTGAATCCTCTCACCCTCCCGCGCTTCTGACTGTACCCAGTTCTTGTATAAACAAATAAATCTTAAAAAAAAATACAAGCAATAAAGTAAATTTGAATGGAAAGAAATGGCACATTGGTACACAGAGATTTAAATTATGGTAATTTAAAAATTAAGAAAGGTGATACTTTACTGATAATATCTCTAAGAATAAATGTTTCTTAGGTCTTAAATATATTTCTGTTCTTTTTTGTTGGCGCAATTTAAACACAGATATATGGAAATTAGGAAGATCTGGAAGATGTGAACAGCATTATTAATACTTTAATGAAACAATGGTCAATTAATTTTAACAGATAACATCTTTAATTACAGAAATAGCCTCACTGAAAAGTGTACTTTAAAAACAAAACCAGATTCTTCAGTTTTATTTGTGTATTTAAATGACAGAAATAGACTTCCATTATTGTTTGAGAATAATTTTGTTACTAATAGGATTTAACTTTTACATTTAATTGATATAGCTAACATAGCATCATTATAGGTACATTTTTTTAAATTAATTTATTTATACAAGCACTGTGTACAGTCAGAAGCACGGGAGGGTGAGAGAATTCACCAGAGCGGGGAACAGAACAGGCAGACTGATGAAATACACTGCTGAGGGGAGCAGCAGGCAAGACAGGAGTGGTCTGTTATGCCATGTGGGACCCTCGCTGGCGGCCAGGGATCGAACCGGCGCTGCAGAAGCTGCGGGCAGCTTCGCAGCCCAGTACTCAATCGCTGCGCCACCAGGGGAGGCCTTCATTCTGTAGAATAAAATTCCAAAAGCCTATAGACATCATCTCTGAAATTTTAACAAAATGAAATAAACTTTGTGATGAAATTATAGATTTTTCTATATCATATTTTCATTGAATTCTTAAGATGGGATTCCTTGCTCACCAATAAATTCTGGAAGGGGAGAGGAAGTGGTAAAAAAACATTTTTTCCCTTATTTATAACAAAGCCACATTAGTCATGACTTATCTCCTTTCTCACTTTCTTTCTCTCTCCCTCTTTTCCTTCCTCCCTCTCTTTTCTTTTAAATGTCACCCATTATGTTTTTATCTGTTCATTAGCAAATCTTCCTTGAACAACTATTTGTGCTGGATACCACAACTTATATGTATAAAAATGTGGCAAAGAGAAGCATGGTCCTTTATCACAGTTTATAATCTGGTGAAGAATAATAAGCAGATAATAGCAAAATGATGTAGTATGTATGATGTTGAGATGGAGGAAAAAATGGTAGAAGCACATGAAGGCATCTGATCTATGTATATGGGGATAGGGAAGGATTCTTGGCAAAGTGGCATCAAAGAATTCCCTAAAGAATGAAAAGGAGTTAGACAAGGAAAAAATGGAAGATACAAGGAAGAATGATTTAAAGCATATATAAAAATAAAAAAAGAAAAATCAAATCATTAAAAAATAAAAGGAAGATAGAGACTTGGGCAGATATTTCCAACAGCAGCAAAAGAAAATACTGTATACAAGGAATTGTTGGAGCCAGAGGTAGCAAGAGATGAAGCTGAGCAGAAAAGCAAGGACAGTGAGCTGCTGAAAGACAGTGAAGGCCATTTCAGGGGGTACAGACTTGATCCTGAAAATAAGAGGCAATACTGAAAGTCTGAAAAGAGGGGTGACAAGACAAGATTCTCACATATAACACCTCACTCTGTTTGCTATTCAGTAAGGAAAGAAGAAGAAAATCAAAGTAAATATTTTTCAGGATTATAAGAAAAAAGCAAATTCTGCGTGCAAATTCACAATTTTTCAAACTTTGGCAGCACCCCATTAACCCGAATTCAGGCAGCTCTGAGGGATAGGTACCTGAAGCATCTTTTCAGGATTCATGGGGCATACACCAATGTTTAGATCAATATGGGAGCAGGTATGGAAAAAATTCATTTTAGGATTAGCTTAAATCAAGTAAAGAGGGTCAAGGACATAACTCTATAGAAAATAAAATTGTAAATAATTATTCATTTCTTCACATTCCCATATTATTCACACTGGTAAATGAGAGGATGCATCTTGCCTTTTTTTATTATTTAAATAATAAATTTATTTTTATATTCCCCATACAATTGCAAACCCCCATTCTGACCCAAATCCCTCCCCTCCCGCCCCCACCCCCCAAAAAGTGTCTCTGGTTCATAGTTTTTTGTTGATTTTGATTTTCACTTTCTTATATTCATTTTCCTGGTCCCTTATTTAAGTCTTCTAGATTCCTGCTATTGTTATAGGACAGGGAGAGGGGCAGCCCAAACCCCGCAAACCTGCCTATTCTAAATGGGTTCTGCCATCCGCCGCATCAACACAAAACATAGGAGACTTTAATGAAAAGGAACTTTAATAAAACTAGGAAACAATACAGGTAAGGCAAAAAGTCTAGTTTCTAGTCTAGTTTCTAAATGAAGCATCCAGAGTTACCCGTCCTCGTGGGTAAAAGTCCATCCAAATGGGATTGGCCCAAACAAGGCCCCAAAGCCTGCCCCAAGTCTAAAGCATCTTCCAGTGGGGACCCACAGAAAAGGGTCACAAACAACTGGACAAGCCCGGAAGGAAAGAGCAAAATCAACATCAAGATAAAAGCTGCCATTGTCACCTCCCCACGGGTCTCACCACATCTGTGTCACCTAGTCCACGACCAAAAGACAAGCGCAGTTTCTTCACGTGTCTCTAGGCTCCATGTGCCTCCTCCAGGTCTCCTGGCTCCATCCTGCTTCCTTCCTCAGTCTCTTCTGCAGCTTCTCCTCTTCCTGCTCAGCTCCCCTTCCTTGGGTGGGGCAGGGAACCTGGAACCTCCCCTTTCCTGGGGACCACCCTGTTACACTATGAGAGACATCCGGTATTTTTCTTTTAGGCTTATTTCGCTGAGCATGATCCCTTCCAACCCATCCATGTTGCTGCAAATTGCATGTGTTATCTTTTTTGAATGCTGAGTAATATTCCATGGTATATATGTACCACATCTTCTTGATCCAGTCATCTATTTTTGGGCATTTGTGCCGCGGACCAGCACAGCAGTAGGCAGTAGACGATGAGGCCACCTCAGGGTTGAGAGAAGCGTGCAGGGTGGTCAGGGCGTCGGCGAAAGAAATGACAAACAGACACACTTCAAGAGTGAAAATCTGAGTGTAATTTTCTCTAAATTTGCGACCAGTATATATATGTTTTCCAAAAGCACAGGAATGAATATCAAGGAAATTAGCTTGCTCATGGGCTCAGTCTACCACTATCAGGGAGGTGATCTACATAACAAGCAATGACCATTATGAAGAAAGAAGGAAGTTTAGAAAGACAAATAAGGGATTAAAGTTTGTAGTTCTAGAAAGACAGGGAAAAGATTTTTAGCATTCTTGTAGTGGTTCTGTAGTGGTTCTTGGTGGTCTTTATCTTTTGATAAGCTTCTGCCTTTTCAGGGAACTTCCTTGCACTTCCTCTGCTTCAGGCTGTTCTCCCCCAGGAGCTGGTTGCCCAGCTGGATCTAGGGAACGTGGTGAAAGCCATTCCTAAAGATCACTGCGGGGGGGGGGGGGGGGGGGGGGGGGGGGGGAGGTGCAGCAGGTAGGGTTTTGCTGTTCTTCCCTGCGCTCTGGTTGCCCAGCCGGACCTAGGGCCGGTTAGCACTAAAGGTCACTGCAGGGGAAGGTGCAGCACATTTGGGCTGTTTCCAAAGCTTAGCTATTGTAAATAGTGCTGCTATAAACATAGGGGTGCAGGTGTTCTTTGGAATGGATGTTTCTGTGTCCTTTGGGTAAATACCTAGGAGTGGAATTGCTGGATCATATGGAAGCTCTATGTTTAGTAGGTCCAGAAATCTCCACACAGCTCTCCATAGTGGTTGGACCAGTTTGCACTCCCACCAACAGTGCAGAAGAGTTCCTTTTTCTCCACACCCTCGCCAACATTTGTTGTTGCTAGTTTTTTTAATATGTGCCATTCTCACTGGTGTAAGATGGTATCTCATGGTAGTTTTGATTTGCATTTCCCTGATGACAAGTGATGTTGAACATTTTTTTCATATGTCTGTTGGCCATTTATTTCCTCTTCAGAGAAGTTTTTTTTAGCTCTTCTGCCCATTTTTGACTGGATTATTTTCTTTGTTGTTGCTGAGTCTCATCAGCTCTTTGCAGATTTTACAGATAAACATTAACATTTTATTTAATTTTTTTTCTATTTTTTTAAATTGAGGTAACAATGGTTTACATTGCTGTCTGTGTTTTAGTGTCTCAAGTGTTGTTACCATACCACACCCACCACCAAAGTACCCATAATCCATGCCCATTCACATTAAAATTTTAAAAGTTGCTTCAAAAGCAGTTTAAAAATACCTTATATTATCATGTACAATTTCTTCATATGAAAATATGCAATACTCAAGTAGATTTTACTGTCATGATTATGGATTAATATTTACATATAAAATTAGTTTGATGCTAATGACATTATAATTGAAATTTAACAGCTACAGTGACATTACTTCACCTAGTTAAATGTTTTAAGAATTTCATATAATTCAATATATTTCTTCTGAAATTCTTTCCTTCTTTCTTTTTTTTTCTTTCTTTATAAGAACCAGGGTACAGGCCAGAGGTACAGAGGGGTGAGAGGACTCACCAGAGACAGAGCAGGGAACAGAACAGGCAGACTGACTGAAATACACTGCTGAGGGGAGCAGCGGGCGAGACAGGAGAGGTCTTCCGTGCCATGTGGGATTCTTGCTGGCTGGTGGGGATCGAACCTGTGCTGCAGAGGCTGCGGACAGCTTCACAGCGTTGTGCTCAACCACCTGTGCCAGCAGGGAGGCCCTGAAAACACTTTCATACTTAAAAAAAAAAAAGGAAAACCTTACTTGTAAGTTATCATTGTATTTGTGTAATTGGGCACCATTATGGTTTATTTGTTATAATCCCCACTTCACAACGCACAGTGATGTGTTCCAAGGCCACAGGTTTCCTTCCAATCCCTTTTACTTCAAAAGTATGTTTCAAACCATCTACTTCATTTGTAGAGAAAGCTTGCCCTGTGATAACCAGCCAAATTTCAGACCTATGGGAGTCACAGTTATATACCAAACAACTTTTACTGTCTTACTAATCTTCAGTTGATTAAGTGATCTTTCAAGCATCTGCTAAGCCATTGATTTTTCCAAATTTATGTATAAATACTTCAGCCTAAGAATAAATGATGAAATTTCCTGTGGAAAGTATTTCTCTTTATTTTCTCTAAAACACAGAGTTTAGATAGGCATTCTTACACGTAGTAATTGTATGCATGTTTTATATCCTTGTCAAGGAAATGTGTCTTATAAAGTGTTTCCTGAAGTACTACATTCCTTGTTGAATAAAACAAAAGGAGAAATGACTTTACTTGTTAAATGCACTATATAAAAATAATCTAGTTATAAGCATTGAAAGTAAATGGCATGTGGCTTTCAGAATATTTATCCCTCAATTAAAGTATTTATTTAAGTTTCAACAG